CACGATAGAGTCTTATTTGCAGCGGTTAAAGATGTTTATCTATGATGTGTACAGCACGTCGCTGCAGCCTGACTAGGGCAACCAAAAAATAGTTTGCTTAGTCAGCCCAAAGATGCAAACAGTACTTCAAGCTAGATCTGACTTGGGTATTATACAACACGATATATTTATAATATTTTTTACCGGTGCTAAGGTATAAACAACCGGCGTACTCTATTTCAATGTTCCGATTCTAAGAGAGGCAGCATCTATAATACTGCTGTAATATCTAAAATAATCTTTTGGGTTAATATATAATAATCTTTTAGGTTGAGGTCGCTTTGAATATCCGTGCCCAGGATATTGAGGCTGTCTTTTTGTGAGGCTATTGCCCTGAAAAGGGGAAAAAGGGGAGGTCATAGACGATTGAGCTCATACCTGTGTTTTCTTGGCAATGTACTCAACCAGGCTACATGGAACCCATTTGGAAATGTGGACCAAACACTGATTCAACTCCACGACGAGATTCTCATCGTTATTCGCAAGCCACTCGATTTACTGTTTGGATATGAACTGTGCTATCGTTCACATAGCATTGAATGAGGCCGAAAAAAACATGTCATTGATATGCAGAAGAAACTATTGGGGTGATGATAGTACGCAACCTTGTGGAACCGCGGCATTCACTGGTAATGTTAGCTCACTCAGGACGCCGCCGGAGATCCAAGTAGAGTTATCATGGGAGTCCGCAAGTAGAAGAGGAAATGCACCTCAAGCCTTGAGTCAGGGCTCTCCGACCACCCTAAGATGGACACGTTGAAGTGTGCAAAACCCACTGCGAAATACCTTCGGAGGGGGAGGGGGGGATAAGAACTTGAACCGACCTAATCAGTGATTCCTAAATTATATCATTTGAAATCCATTCGGGTGTCGACATTTTACGGATGGTGTGTTACTCGAAATTTTGTGATCCCACATAGCTATTAATTTTTTACTTATTAATTTTAATACTTATTTATTTTAACGTTTAAAACAAGTTTTGGCTAAAACTATTCTCCATTGACTCTGACTCTGGTGTCAGAACTTTTTTGACAGAAATACAGTTGTGTAATTAAAAAATCCTGAATGTAAATTCCCGGAGCTACTTACACAAACTTTGTGACCGTAAATAGAAGAAAACCCCAAAAAAATATTACCTTCGTGAAGAAATTGACTATTTTTGTGTTAAGAATTATGACCAAAAAAGATGATATTAGCAGAATTATTTAGTTAGTGCCATTTAGAGCGTCATACGCCATTAACAACCGTATTCGAAATAATTAAATCGACTAAGTCCTTATAGAACTACAAACTAAATAAAAAAGTAATATTTAGCTTTAAAAGAATACAACTTTTAAGTGGGTTTGGTACTTAATAGTACTGTATCAATACATTTTGCCTTTAAAATATCTAAATCTAAATAATTGGTGCATTAAGAGGGCGCATAAATCAAATCACAAATATTAATCACGCTGTGAGTAAACTAATAAAGTCCAAATACATAAAAAAAATGATAAAAATACTATTGTCTAACTACCAGTAAAGTAATTGGACCAACACGTGATTTTTGTTATTTTTGGCGTTTATTCTCGCAATGTGTATGTAGTTTTATCTTTAACTTTATGCGCACTTCATGCATTTGTTTGTATTCGTATTTTATTGGGCATTAAAAATAAAAATGTTTTCTGAAGGCTCTCTTGCTTGGAAATAGTATATCATTGTCTATGGTGATTTTTATTTTCTGACAAAGGGATACAGGCCATACAGCCATATCTAAGGATGTAAGTTAAAACATTGCTATTGGGTTTTTTAGAATTATTAGAGCTAAATGAAAGATTCAGGGGACAAAGTAAAGTTTAAGATATTATTATTATTCTGTTACTTTTAAATGGCGAGGCTTTACTATTTCGTATTCAATTCGAACCACAGAGAAATCTTTCCATAAAATATTTCTAACATAAAACGAAATTATTTCAATAACAAAATTATTTCAGCAAAACAATAAATAATTAATATTCTTACATAATTCCATTTCAAATAACGCAATTTTGTTGCACCAATAATTTTAATACTTATTTATTTTAACGTTTAAAACAAGCGACAATAATACAGCGTTTAAAAACTGTATTGTGCCATCTTTCGAATGATTTAGTTTGTATTTTGGTATCTAAAATTCTAAATGAAGGAATGTAGAATAGATATAAGAATATCAGTCTTATCTGTTGCGGCCGATTTGCCACGCGCTGTGCGGTAGTCGCTGCAATCTGTTTATGGTCGGACGACCCCACTGCAGCCATAGGAAACCGACCACTAAGCAGAGTACAGTCTCTATGTAGAAACCGTCGATCCTTATTTCACAGGTGCCATCGGCGCTTTTGCATAACTGAAAATATAAAATTGTTTAGTTGCAATACTTATTTCTATTACATTTACAGTGTTTTTTTTTTGTTTTCTGCTCTTCAATATCATTGGTGTTTTGGGAATTTTCACAGAATAAATAAATTGAAATGTTATAATTACTATAAAGCTATTTACTACTTATCTACTTAATCACGTGTAATTTAACCAGCCATTAGGAAGGCACGTCGTTGGCAGTGTTATCAAATCTACTGTTTTAACAGTAGATTTGCTGTTTTCATATTAGCCCCTGTTTTCTGTATCATTCCTAATTTTTACTGTTTTACAATTAGCGTCCAGCACCACCTATTACACTACGCATATATAATCTGAAATAACCGATTATTACTCATTTGAAGCCCTAGAAAGGCACATGAAGAAGCACACTTTTATTCTTTTTGACGTACGTCAAGCTCCTCTTAATCATATCAAAACTTAGAGAATTCAACCTTACGCATCTAACTCAGGGCCGCCACATCTCAAGTCGGGCCCGGGCCGGATTTTAATGTTATCGACGGATTAAAAAGGTAAGTCTCTGTATACAAGATGGCTGAAGGAATTAATTGAAACAATGATTATGTTTGAAAGAATAAGAAATACCCGTTTCTGAATTGAGAATTTGAAGTTGAGCACGTCTCAAACCGTGCTTAAGGCATATTAAATGTCATTTAAACGTGTTTTCATTATTGATTTATAGTTTTTATTTGTCCGTTGATAGCAATTTGATAATTCTAGTACTTTTTGCGTTATGAAACGTAAAAAACTTAATTTATTGAGAATAATCAGTTGAGATTTTGTACTTTTCTCAATTCAGAATCCTGCCGAAAGAAATTAAATACAGGACCCGGGGCAACAGTACCCACTTGCCCACCCCATGTGGCGGCCCTGAACGAACTATATTAATTTCAAAATGCCGTGACGTCATAGCGGCGCCATGACAGAAGTGGCGTATTCGCGAGAAATTTTGAAAATTAAATTTATTTTTAGATTTTAACTTATAATATGAATTATATTTGAAAGATATTCACGAACTTCACGCTACAAATATTTGACGTGTGATAGTAATTGCGATGTTTTGAAAGCTAGTGTTAATTTGAGGCAATCGTTGGACGTAAATATCTTCGAAAGCTTTTGACAAATGTCAAAAGAAAAAGTTAAATGCTAACTGTAATCTATCGATGGGTTTAGCTAAATTTTTATTACGTTTCTAGATTATTCAAATCACCAGTCGTTCCAAAAGCAATTACGACTTTAAACGAACCAATTCCATAAACCTTTGAAAGAAATTGCACAGTTTAAGTTCAAATTAATTTCGAGAGCAGAAAAAAAAATCAAAGTAGTCATACGGTTATTACATCACAGCTATAATGCCTAATCATAACGCACTCTAACTATTTTACGGTTTTAATCATGTGGTTACAACATGCATTTACGACTTTTCTGTTACTATACTATTTAATTGTTGTGTAACCATTTCATAATGTAAAAATAAATTGAACCTTTGATGAAAAAAAAAATCCATTTTAGATATGTTTTATTAGTATTTTTTACAACCTTCACAGAACAGAATTCATTTTAGCAAATTAATTAAACTTGAAGTTTTATTTTTTATTTGCGGATCGATTATGCAATTAATGCTACATTCAAACCCATGGACAGGACATATACCTATAAAGCATTAAGTTTGCGCTTACGATTGAAATTAATAATAAAGACTGTAATAAAATATAACAAGTTTTGTAAATTCCTGTTTAAAATACTATTATTAATCAGTACCATTATTATTTATGATATCAGAAAAGATCTCGCTTTCAGAGTTCCCAGGTTAAATTCCCGATCGGGTCAATGGACTTTTCTATATTATCTGGGTGTAATGGTGCATTAGTTGTTTCAGATACTCCATAATAAGGGTCTTTAGCTGCTCATCTTGAAATCTGAGCAATGTATGTGATGTTTGTTTCATTATTATTTCTATTATAATTAACTTTTAATTAATTATTGCAGTTAGCATACAATAGGCTTGTGTCCTACAAGTGAAAATACAGGTTTTTGTTATATCTTCGAAAAATATGAACCATTTTAACTTATAAATGTTTAACAAAAGAAACTTTAAGTCACTGATTTGGAAAATATTACGCTTTGAAAACTTGAAAAAAGTAGAGAAAATCTACTACAAAAATTTGCTAAAATACATAAGGCATTACATTAGATATAAAAAATGTTACAACTTTCATTATAACAGCTATAAACATAAACGCACAAATAATAAAGATATTACAAAAATGTTCCAGACGCCCTTACATTTTTCGCTACTGTAGCACCATGTGACGTCACTGAGTGCCTTGAATTTGTAGGTAGCGTTTTCGGCCAACTAGTAGCAGTTCTACAAACACAGCACCGTATCTCCGAAACTATTAATCGCAGACATGCTGTTACTTCGACATTATTTCTCAGATGTTAATGGACTATTTATTTATGAAATAAAAAAAAAGTTGTCAACTAGCCTATTCCTTCGTTGACATTTCTCAATAGCTTTTAAAGATATTTGCTCGCTGTCACATTTCAAATGGTTGTAGTGTAAAGTTCGTATTTTTTGTGTGGGTAATCAGTAAATCAGTAAATTACGACAATACATTGAGTTGAAATATCGCAAAAGTCACACCTTTGTAATTTTTTTAAATAGTTGTGACGAAGAGGCCTCTCAACTTCAATGCCTATTATCTAAGTCATTTCTAGTTATAAGGCAAAGAAAATACGTATCTAATATTTTTCTATTACCTGACTGGTGGATTAAATATAATTTATTTTTTATTGTGGTACAGATATTATATAACGCCATGTTATGACTAATTAATTATATTTAATCCCCATCCGATTTCTTATTTCTTCAATTTGTTACTTTTGCTGTTAAAATTATGCCATTTCAACAATACTACTAGTACATACAATATGATGTTTTATGAAGGAATGGGATCTAACCCTAATACTTACTTCGGTGTCCTCTATTGTAGAGCAGGTGTTGCCATCTAATGAAGGAGCCGTGCAACGCTTGAATGTAAGATGGTCTATAGCCCATAGGGCTAATGTATTCGGCCAATTCGTTCCCAGGTTTGATACTGTGTTGAGGAGCGTCATGTATGTCCCACCTACTGTAGGATCTGATACTTTGGCGTAGAAAGCCATAACTGCCACGAACATACAGTACAAACATGTCTGTAAAACAGAAGTTTCATCACTTTATTTATTAGATTAGCACTTTACAACTAAAATATAGATATTTCTTATAATATTATAAAGAGGAAAGATTATTTGTTTGCAACGAAAAGGTTCCGAAACTACTAGAGCGATTTTATAAATTCTTTCACCTATATTTTATCTCGAGAAACAGCAAATGAAGGGATTAAAATGGCAGTTGAACTTTCTATTGGGAATTAAAAAGTTACCACAGTAACCACCGTTTACCATTTAATTTGTCATTGTAATTATATCCATGTCATAATATGAATCGATATACAAGTAAATAGCTCCCACTTTTATGACGTAAAGCACACGTTTATACCCAAGTAGCTCGGTGGCGTAATGGATACGCGCCACGGCCCGCGATCGTTGCTGTTAAGCAACTTTCACAAGGGTCGGTCATGGGATGGGTAACCAAAACATTACTATTTCGAGCTACTCCGTATTTCGGAAGGCACCTTAAGCCGTTGGTCTTGGCTGCGTTTGCAATTGTTAACACCCTTCAATCCAAATTGGGCCAGCGTGGAGGGTCACGACATGATCTAGTTATCCATAAGGAGGGTCCTCAGACCTCAGACCTCAGACCCCGGGGACTTAAAAGGACTAATGATGAGACGACGTTAGTACCACCCGAGACAATATAGAAAATTTCAGTTTCTACGTTGTCCTGAACGGCGATCGGACCCGAGACCTCAAAGATGGAGACACTCTAAAATCGGTATGCGAACCCCTCGGAAACGGAATAAATCAACACACGTTTTTTGACCCGAGGAAAATACGTTATACGCTATGTGCAAGATTCAGTGACAACTGTGAGTAGGTCAAATGATGACTGGTATTGGTACTAGGGAATTTTAGCGTTTCATTTACCAATCCGTTTTTTTTTGCAAAGAGTCATGTCCACTTTCCATACATTGATTGATTGACCTGTCATCTGTTTTTTTAAAGGTCGTGTCTACCTACCAGTAGTGATACTTGAAATCAGTTTTGCTTAGAATAATATCTAAGTATCTTTTCATCTCGAGGCCAGCACGTGTAGCATGACAAACTCGAGAAACGCTTTGTCTACACCCAAATGTCACTTTCTCGGGTCGAGAGTGAGATATAGTATGAGCGTGAGATAGAGTAGAAATATTGTGCACTCCAAACATTATTTTTCTTAACATAATATTTACATCAACAGATTTATTGTGCCTTACCTGATGGAATATATACAAAGACATGAGGATAAAAAGGTAAGAATAAGAAGGTCCAGTGTCACCAATAAGACTTGGTGTTAAAGCCACCAACAAAGCAACTAGTGGCCCCACTAGTAATCTTAATGGAAACGCTTTCAACCATAATGTGAAAGGTGCTGGTCCAGTAGTATGTTTGGCTAATATCTGAAAAAAAATGACATAAGAGATTATAAAAAAATAGGCGTTATTGTTAATAACTTGAACTATAAGTTATTTATGCGCGCGGCGCTGTGTTTGCGTGAGCTTGTAATGATACAGGTTTTGTATGTGTGTAGTGACGATTCAGTCGTTATCCGAGCATCATGTGTGATTATCGCTTTTTTGGATGGGTACAGTCGTTATTGAAAATGTTATGTACTTCATAAAGATTTTTTTTGACATGTTTCGAATTTCATAATTAACCATGGTAGAGAATAGGGAATCTGAAAATTCATAAGTTTCATTTCCTAGTAGCGATTCTGAATAATAAGTTCAACAATCATATATTTTCCAAATTAAGTGTTTTTAGATTCCATATTGTCAATCATAGCTGGTTACTACAGCCTTGTTTGTAACAAAATAATCTATACTAATAGTTACAGCTTGTCACTGCATTTTCAATTAGTTGAAATTGCTGTATAGGTATAAGGATTATTCACTTACACATACCGCCGCATGCACAATTGAGTTGATTATATTATAACATTATGATTACTCGAAACATACCATGTAGACAATTAAATTTCACAAAGAGTATTGTTAATGCAAATTATTATATGGTATATCAGTAAATTATCCCAAGGTATTATTGGAAGCCTACCACTGTTACTAGTTAGAAAAAATGCTCTGTCTTACCACTGGCATAATTATCTGTACTGGTACTAATGGTACAGCAAGTAATGCTAAATCTTCCCGTGGTACTCCCGCCTCAACAAGTTTTAAACCTGAGACAGCATCACTGGCACAAAAACCAAGCTGAAAATAAATATGATTTTGTGACAAATTAAAACTATTCTTGTATTTTTTTAAGTAAGATTTTTAGTTTCTTCATAATTGATATATTTGAAGTAATATTTTGCTGTTATTATTTGTGTTAGTACTAAATTATTTTTAATAATATCTTCTTGGATAAGTATGCAAGCATCATGACTATTCTAAAATTGATTTTATTGAAATTTAATCCCAATGTAATCAATTTTAATCAATATTTTCAAATGATCCTAAGCACATATACATATATATATTTAAACATTATAATATGGCTATTGTCATAGCAATCATTTTTCACAATGACGTCATCATTTTTCTAGGGTAGTTTGCAGTAATGTGAGTCGGTTTCAAAAATATTATTTAAAAATTTTTGATTATTTGAAATATATAATGTATTAAATTTTTTATAATGTTTTATAGATTCTGTATCAATTAAACTTTGTCACATCACATATATTCTTTTATTGTTTACAATCAACTGTAGATTACTATTATTTAAAAGATAAAAAGATAGACCTCTTTATATAAGCATAAAATTAAATAGTGACATGAGACCAATACAGACCTTTGCTGTAAACAGCACAAGAGCTAATGTCTGGACAGCTGGGAGTTTGACAATAGTATATAACTGTTTGTATGCATTTACAATGTCTTTCATGTTTTTGGGTTGGCTTTCTCTGTTATTTGAAACTTCCTCATTGGCTTCATGTTTGAATATAGCTATCAGTGTAGTTGTAGCAATAAATATCCATCCCCAAAATAAAAGGAAACTAGCTAATGTGACCATGCCGGTTTCCTCATCGGTAGAGCGAAGATATTTATTGCAGAAATATGGTGACTCAAGAGCCAAGAATAAAACATAACCAAGGAAGTAGCCAGCTGTCTGTCCAACAGTGTTGCATGTGGAGGCATGTCCAACATTACATCTTAAAAAAATATATATTTGATTAATTCTGCAATCACAATGCTTTAGTGATATTATTATTTTTAGCATAAACAAACAATGATATTATACTGTATTCCTCTTATAATTAAACTTGAAAAATTAGGCTTAAAAACTTACCTTTTTAACATAGTTAGAGCCCATCCATCAACAGCGATATCTTGTGTTGCAGCCAAAAAATTAAGGAACATGAATGATGATGTCAACAACATCATGGATGGAGCTTCTATATCCGAGCCAAGCCATTTTGTAACATTACTGGACATGATAATCATGACCAACCCTATCAAATATTGTACAGGCACCAACCATGTTTTACGCCGTCCAAAATTTGGCCAATAAAATGCATCCACTATCGGAGCCCATAATAGCTTTAGACTAAATGGCCAGTACACCAAACTAAATTCTGCCTGAAATGAAATTACAAATTAAAATAAATTCCAAAGAGTATTCAAAAGCATTTCTTGTTTTTGAAATTTAGTGCTATAAATAATTAGTGTCTACGTTTCCACCTGTTGAGTGTAAGTTATGCCACGATTCTGTAGAAGCATAGGTACAGCTGCAGCCAATCCTAGTGGTATACCTTGTAAGGTGTATAAAAATAGCAAAACTGCGATATTCACTTCGTCGCCTTTTATATTACTTGGACTAGTTTCAGCCAAAGTGTCACCATTTTCAAGGAGTTCTTCCTTTTCTGGCGAATTTTTCCGTTTAGTAAGTGGCATAATTGTTGAAAATAATGCCTGAAAAATATTAAAAGGTGTGTAATTATTGGTCAGCCAACAAAACAAATACACGTCAGTAAAAAGGTATAAAATTTCTTGCCTTAATTTTGATGTTGTTAATGAAAGAAATTATTTTGGATTTCAATTACTTTTGGTATCTGGATTATTTCCCAGCACGGAGCTATTGAAAATATGTTCATATAAAGTTTACTTTTTGAAATTCCACAATTTTACAAAAAACTCGAACGAAATCATAATCAGACGAAAGATATTTTTTTTTTTTTTATATAAAGGTTTTACCGGCCCTGGCTTCCATGGCCTTCAGCCGTGTCTTCATATTGAGATAATTTATATATTTACAAGCGTTTCCTTTATATATCTGTATAAGTATCTATATATTTCTGGGATCTGCAATAAATCTTGTAATTGGCGGGGTACATCTTTCACAGTTTTTCCTATATTTGTTGCTAATATTAGGCGTTGCATAGCGAAATTTGGACATTTCAGAACGAGGTGTTCAAGATCTGCAATTTCGTTTAGTTGACAATATTGACAGATGTTGCTTTCAGTCAGTTTTATTTTAAACAAAGTTGCTGGGATTCGGCAGTGTCCTAACCGCAATCGGTTGATGGTGCTATAAAATTCTCTATTAACAGCTCTAAAAGGTATATACCATGGTGTTTTAGGTATGGTCTTCTGTATACCTCCGTACCATCTTCCTTTTTCGCACTTATCCAATATCCAAAATTCTTCCCATAACTCCATTACCTTACCTCTAATATAAGATTGGCAATCGTTTAGATGAAGTTCGTAACTTAAATCTAATGTACAGAGTTCACTATGAGTAGCTTTATCAACAATTTCATTCCCTTGAATTCCTACATGAGAACGAACCCAAGTAAAAGTAATATTTTTTCCAATCATATTTAACTGATATCTAATATGTTGTATTAAATAATTATCCTTATAGTGCCTACTTACATTTTCTAATTTAGTAAGTGCACTAAGAGAATCTGTGACGATCATAAACTTAGATAAAGTTTTATCTACATATTTATTTTGAATATAAATTAAAGCTTTGAGAATAGCATAACATTCAGCAGAAAATACACTGCTTTTATTATCAATTTCATAAGTTATAGTAATCTTTGATACTGAATCATACAGTGCACATTTAACTTTATCTGTAGTTTTACTACCATCTGTATAAATTATTATATAATCTCTATATTTCTGTAATAATTCTAAGAAAGAAAATTTATCATTTGCTCTATCAAATAAAATGTTTTGTAAATTAATTTTGTACTCATATTTATAATATGGTAATAACAGATGCTTATTTAAATTTGGGAATAATAATATCATGTGATTCATTATCCTTATTAGATTAGGTGGTTTATTATTATGTATATTAAGAGCAGAAACATACACTGCATTACTAGCTTCACCTGTATAGCCAGGGATTGTTAATTTTTCAATTAATTTTTGATTTTGTAAGTATATATTTTTAAGACAGAATCTTTCTGCTATTAACATTCTACGTATAGCTAAAGGCATTATTTTTGTTTCTACTTCCATAGATCTTATTGGTGTTGAACACATTGCTCCTGTTATAAGTCTTAAGCATTTATTTTGTAAGACATCCAGCTTCCTAAGTAGGTGTGGATTCACTTCATAGTATGCTAAACAGCTGTAGTCAAAATGAGATCTTACTAAACTTTTATACAAAAGACTTAAAATCTTAGGATCAGCACCCCATGTAATTCCTGCTAAGCATCTTAATATATTTACAGCTTTGTGAGCATTCATAAGGATATAATTAATATGACTTTGAAAATTTAATTTACAATCAATCACTACACCTAAAAATTTTTTTTCATTTACATGAGGTATATTTACATTGTTATATTGAATATTACTATTTACAGATGTACTATTATTTACAACTAAGATGGAACTTTTTTCTGGATTTATATCAAGACCTAAAATGTTCTTATAGAAGTGGTGTAATTGGTGTAATGCTGAATTAAGGTAATGTATAGCAGTGTTTATATTTTCATCAACACAATAAATAACTAAGTCATCTGCAAACTGTAATATTTCTATATTTTCTTGTGTTACATATTGTAAAATTTGGCTAGTATATATATTATACAGTAATGGCGATAAGGTTCCACCTTGAGTTGTACCTTTTTGTGCATATTTTGGGCCATAAAGACGATTGTTAAATTTTACATATACTTGTCTATTATATAAGTAATTGAATATCCATTTACTAACATGGCCAGGAATTTTCAATTCCTGTAATATGTTTATTAGCTTTTCTAAATCAATATTATCAAATGCACCTTTGACATCCAGAAAACTACAAACAACATTTAATTTACCACTTGCTTTTGCACGTTTCAGATCAGAAAGTAATATTGTAAAACTATCTGCTGAGCTACGCCCTCTCCGGAAGCCATATTGCACAGTTGGAATTATACCATAATGCTCAACATACCACTCAAGTCTGTTCTTCAACATAAGTTCGAAGAGTTTGCCTATACATGAAGTGAGAGAAATGGGCCTATATGAATTATAATCTGAGGGTACTTTATCAGGTTTCAAAATGGGGATTATACACTGAGTTTTCCATGATTCTGGAACTAACTGTTTACTCCAGAGGGTGTTAAATATTTGCAATAAAATATTCAAAGCATTATTATGAAGATGTTTAAGTAAGATATATGGATAATCATCCATGCCAGGAGCTGTATCACGTCTTGAGGAGAGACTATTAATTAATTCAGTATGTGTGAATGGCTCAATTATAAACATAGATTCTGAATTATTATTATTATTGTTAAAATAAGTTTGTAAGTTATCTAAATTTATATTATTAATGTGTGCATATTTGTTTAGAAATTCTGGTATAAATTCATCATTTTTGGAGTAGTTACTATAGACTTTAGCTCTTTTGAACTTTTTTATCATTTTCCAGATTTTACTTAAAGGTGTTGTTCTATTGAAAGATTCACATAGTTTCAACCAATTCAGCCGTTTCTGTTCACTAATAACTTTTTTTTTTTGGGCATCTGTTTTTTTATAATTGATATAATTTTCTAGAGTTGGTTGATTTCTATACTGTTTTAAAGATTGTTTTGTTTTTTCTACTGCTAGTTGACATGTTTGATTCCACCATGGAGCTGGAAGTTTAGTTTTGATCATATGTTTGGATGCCGATTTTTTTGGTACATATTGATTTCTTAAATTACTTAATATTTCGGTGAACAAATTATATAAAGTTAAAGGGTTGTTTTCATCAAAATCAATAATGTTAAATGCTGTTTCGGATTTTAAATAAAATTCTACCCAGTTTGCCTTATTATAAAGGAATTTATCTTCATATTGCACTGACATATATTTTGGAGCATCTATTGTCAACTCCACTATGGTAGGCAGGTGATAACTGCCCAGAGGGTCATCATGTACTCTCCATTCACAGAGGGGGGCTAAATTCGGGCTCACTAAGAAGATATCTATGGCTGACGGATTTTGATGTGGTCGATTAATTGTTGTATAATCGCCAGTATTAAGTATGCATAAGTTATTATCATCTAACCAATTGTATAAGGCTTGTCCCCTACTATTAATGTCCAGACAACCAAAGGCAATATGATGACTGTTAAAATCACCTGCTATAAGTATAGGTTTTGGTAGAGACTGAATTATGTTATTAAGGCTGCTAATATCAAACCTAGTGTATCTAGGAGGAGCATAAATACATAAAACTGTAATGGTACCAGTGTTTACTGTTAAAGAAATTGCTACATTTTGCATTTGTTCATAAAAAGGAGTACTAAGAAGTTTGTATTTCAAATTATTTTTTACAAGAATACCTACCCCACCATGAGAATTAGAAGCATTTCTAAAGTGGGTTTGATAATTTATGAATCTAATATTGTCATGTTTGTCTGTTAACCATGTTTCATTAAGTAAGCATATATCTATATTATTAGTTTCTAGAAAAGAATTCACTAATGCTTTTTTACTCAAGAGACTTTGTATGTTATGTTGAGCAATAATGATATTTTGTTCATTTGTACAGGCCATTATTTAGATAATTTTGATGAAAGAACGTCTTTAATTCTTTTGGTTGTCAAAGGTGCATCATCCTTTTTATTTCCTAATTCTACTAATGTTTGAATGAGTGCATTTATTATTAAGGGATTATTTACAATGTCAATAAAACTTTTATTATTAACCTCTATCTTATTATTTACAATATTATTTTCTTTATTTTTCAAAGCTGGAAAATTATCTTTACTTTGTGTATAAGAAGAGTCATTGATCACAGCTGCAGCATATGTCTGTTTATTCTTTTTTTCTAAATTTTTCTTAATTTTTATTGGACATGTTGCTGAGATAGATAAATGAGACCCTCCACAGTTGATACACTTAATATTTTCAGGCATATTACATTCTTTATAGAAATGATCTCCACTACAAATTGAACATTTTTGTGTTTGATTGCATATTTTTGCTGAATGATTAAATTTAAAGCACTTAAAGCATTGTAGCAAGGGTGGTGTGTATTGGTGGACCTTGTATCGCCAGAGATTTAAATACACGAAGTCTGGTAAAATAGTACTTAAAAAAGTAACACTTACAGTCTCTGTTGGAGTTAATTCCCCATTTACCTTTTTCTGAAATCGTCTCACAGATAATATTTCATATGGTGATGAGAGCTGTTTGTACAATTCTTCATTAGAAATTTCTTTTGGTATATACCTTATGACACCAATTTTCTCAACTGACTGAGCTGAAATATATGCCTTGAAGTTATGTCGCGTTAGAAAATCCTCTGCATTAAGAAAATTATTGGCTGTGTTTGGTTGTCCAAATATGACCCCTATCTTATGTGCGTTTATTCTGTTTAATCGTTTTATTCCTTTGATATCTCTTTGAAGAATTTTTGTCAAATAAAATGGATTTTTGTTTCCAATTTTCTCATTAGTAACGCTTTCTAGGTAAACTATAAATTCCGCCTGCCCAGCATTTTCTGCAAATCGTCTTTTATAATTGTTTTTGACAAAAGGCTTGTATAAATTTTTTTGATCACTTTCTAAGTTTTGGCCCTTTTTTCTTTTCTTTGGTTTACTAAATTGAGTGCTATTATCTGCATCAGTATCTTCATTTTCCATTTCTGACATTATTACTCGATATTTAAAGCAAAATTGGTAGTCAAATCAAGATAATACACAAATTAAATTTGCAAGAAAATTTAAAAACGCGCGCTCGATTCGACTTCCCGCCAAAAAGTCCTAATCAGACGAAAGAACAACCAAAACACAGACCAATGCACAGAGCAAAGATAACATATATATTACACGTTTGCACAGAGTATTTGTAGTGTTGCCAGATGGTTGTGTCCTCACATCTTATATACCTCCTATTTTATTGTAAAAACGAAAAAGCATATATCCACCGTCAGAGATGTGACTTATCTTAGATACAAGTATTTGAAATACAGATACAAGATACAAAATACGTATTTTCATCTTGTATCTAAAATACTTTTTTTAGGAAGTATTTTGTATCTTGTATTTAAATACTTTTTTTTAGTATCTTAGTATCTTTTAAATACTTTTTCTGATAAAATACTTTATAAAAAGATTATTTCTTACATTTTATAAATATCACAAAACATTCTTTGCCTAAAACATACATATTTACATAAAGATAGTGTTCAATTATCAACGCAATGAATATTTCGTTAAAAATAACTCGAATCCAAACATTGTTTGGTGTCATTTAAAAAGTAAATGCGTAGAACTGAACGTACGGTTATACCGGTGTAATACACCTTCCCTAGTAAAAATTGATAGATGGCGCATAGGGCTTGAAATCGAATAACCAGTTACAAGCAAAAACCTGGTTATATGCTATAAATAAAACTCAGTATATCAATTAAACTCATTAAATTTTATTATTTTTTTGCACATTATACTTTTTCCACTAACAACAGCATTCAAAAAGTTTATTTTTAAAGAAATTTCACTGTGAAATTCGATACATGGCAAATGCTTGAAATTATATCCCGTGAGCAAAGCAATATGACTTTTATTGACTCAACAGTTAATCTTTTTCTATCTTTTGACCACTGCATATTCATGAGCGAAAAAAAAAACAATATTCGCATTATGAGGCATAATACAAAAAAATACTGACAAATCAGTAGTTCGGAAATGAGTGCTGTCATTGCATATATTGAAAATAATAATTCGTCATAAAAATAAATTTGTTAATAGAAAAAATTCTTCAAATAATTTCTTTGACATCGTCAATTAATACTCCTTTATTTTTCAAAAATACAACACAATCTGTGATGTAATCGTATAGTAGATTTTGCTTTAATAAGTAACCATTTAATTCAAGGGATCTTTATTGAGAAACAACAAAAAAATGGGCGGAGTCCTGTCTTAATATTAGGTCTTTACCTATGTAATTGCCGTTCTGCTGTACTAGCCATTTAAAATCAAACTATTTTTTTTTGGCTGATAATTCTAATATCAAATTATTTTTTCTAAAATCGTCATTTGTTCAATAGTAAGTGTTTTGTTTTCAATGCATTTGAATATTTTTCGTCGTCATGGATAAGTTAAAAATTCGAGTAATTATGGAGTATGTGTGCCATCGTGGCAGCAAAGTGGCACGCAACATTACAACGTTTGCAGAGCGAACACTACAAACGAACGCACCACCCGTTATTGGTTTGCCCGTTATTGGTTTACGAAAAGGTTGCTGTTTGGTGGTTTAACGCGGATGTATTTCATCACAGCTTCTTACCAAACAGGACGAGCATTACTACATATTTACTGTGTGTATTGTGAAGAACTGAACACAATGACGGAGAAGCTGGCACAAGTCCAACCAGGTTTTGTCAATCGTTCGGTTCCACTGCTCCTGCACGACCACGTACGACCTCATACTACACAATTGGCGGTACCCATAAGCTACAAGAGCTGGGGTTTGAAGTTCTCCGTCATCCGCCGTACTTAACAGACCATGCGCCTACAGACTTCTAATTCTTCCAGAATTCGGATAACGTCTTAGCGGGAAAAAAATAAATTCCCGAGAGGCAGTACAAAATGCCTTTGAAGTATTTGTTGCCTCCTGTCCAGCTGATTTCTTCAAGAAGGCTTCATTAAGCTACCAATGCGTTGGAAAAGATGTATTGATTGCATGGGTGATTACTTTGGCTAATAGAAATAAGAAAATAAAGCTTCACTTATTTTATTAAAAACGGAAATTTCATAGATAAAGACTTAATTAATACTTCAAATCCGGTTGAGACCGGATTTATCCGATCAGATGGTAACTAATGGCGCATTACCAACAGTACCAGCAATACCAACTCTACGACTTTTTAGGTACATCTACGTATTATAAGCCTTTCCTACAAACCAACGTACTATATCAACCACAGAAGCTAAGTATTTTCTACTAAAAATTTTCAAATTAGCTTAACACACTAAAGGGGCATAATTTTCGGTAGTTCTGCAAAAAAAGTTAATATACGTTTCGTTACATACTATCGCACATTCACCTCGTCACAAGTCACGCCATTAATTTTAAAAACCAAGTACTGTATTTATTTTCACCCACTCTATTCATCTCACTAGGAAAAAATGAATTTTCAGTTCTCTATTATAATTAAATTATTTTATAATTAAATTTAAATAATTATTCTTGTTGTTATATTTCAGCAATTTTTCATTCACAATGCTATATTGAAAAAGAAAAAATTATTAAAAAGGAACTAAAAAATTTAAAATAATTTAAACCTGATGTATTAAATATTTGCATTTTTATATGTTACATTGTGATTGACAAACAAATAAAACGGAGAAAAAGTGGGTGAAATTTAGCTTGTAAGATTTGAGTACAAACACAGAAAACTAAATAAAAGCTTACAAAAATTGTTTCTAATGAATAATGCTTAAAAAATCCGCTTTGTCCCTGGAACCATCTGGTCTAAGATTTAGGTTTTTGTGGTCTTTAATAAACAAACTTAAATTAAAATCTTTTTTAGAAAAGTATTTGTATTTATAAAAAGTATCTATAAGATACCTATTTTGTATCTAGATTTTCAAATACTTTTCTCGAAAGTATTTCGTATCTGGTATCTGAAATATTTAATTTAAAAGTATTTTGTATCTTGTATTCCAGATACTTTGTACAGGGTATTTTGTACATCTCTGTCCACCGTACGAATTAACATAACATCAGGTGCAAAACTCTAATGCTCGCTGCGCTATCCTGTACGTTGTCCCGTTGTAGCCATGCAACTTCAGTGGCGATAGTTAATAATATTATTATAGTAAAATAAAGTTTTCTGTTGTTCATTTCAAACAGACGTTTTTTGTCAATAGTTGAATTTTTGTAAATCTTAAAGCACCAAAAGGTGAAATAAAAGTTTTTTTGGTCAAAAACTAGTGTATGAGGGTTTGGCTGAATCCAATACAATAACGAAACAAAAAAAAATAACCAAAAAAACTGAATTGTAGGTTTTTTAATGATCTAAAAACGGATATATTGCTTACGTTATGATCGAGTCTCGCAATGACGTATCCTATAAATACAGATAATGTTTTTTTGGTACTTTATTCCGAAATAATCTAACCACTATAAAGAAAATTATTATAGCATCGAGACTCAATCCTTTATCTTTCATTAAAGTTTCAGATCTGAAAGTTCCCCCGTTTTAGAGAATTAAGTTAAAAAAAGTGGTATGGTTTGTTTAGAAGCACTAGTACACACAGCCATAAAACTCATAAAAAAATAAAGTGCAAAAAATAAAAACAAACGCAAAGGGATCTTTGTCCACAGCCTAGCTTTCGGTAGGGTACTTTGGACGAAAATTAAACAAAAAGTAATGCGTTTGTTGTAATTAAAATATTTTTTATCCAGTTAAAGCCTGCTTAATAGTCAACTTTACCGACAAATAATGCCTTATTTGTTGTTAATTCGTCATTTTCAGGCATCCTGAATTTGCCTTATTTGTGTCTTACCCCAAAGCACCTTATAATAACTTAGCGTCCCTAGTAGACGAATTATTTATCAATATTGTGAAAATCGATATATACCAATAGTGTTTATTATAATAAGCCACGCTCTGAATAGACTCAAACCGAGTCTTATCTGCATTGACGAGCTTCGATTCATTTAAAATATCTCTGTATTTGAGATTTACAGGTCTGAAATACAATAATTAATAGCAAATAAAAATATTAATTCCACATTGTCCAAATAGATTGATTCACAGCATGAATTGGAACGTAACTTAAGGATGGGGTTGCCATAGATTTTCTCAATGCACTTATGTGTGGCTACATAAATTATAAAATATCCCCCAAATGATGTTCAAATAAGAAAAGAAACAATTTCTAACATCTAAAAATAAAATAAAATGATGATGAATTAGGTTTATTTACCCTCTATCGATCAATATATACTTTATGCTTGGTTAGAGATAATTTGAATAAAATATCAGCCTCCATACAAAAAAAAATTCTCCTTTGATGTTTTGTATTTATATCTTCTCTCGTTTTGTTTATAAAAAACGAATTACTAATTATATGTATAAATTTTTGCGTATCTTTAATAATATTGTTTTGACATGACAGCTTCCTGTTTACCTGTGACGTCACATTATCACATACCGGTAAACTGACCCTGTTGCGACGACAAATAATTACAGGGCGTTTTCGTCGTTCATTAAATTAATAAAAATGTTGCATTTTTCTTTACGTTAATTCACTAAAGCGAAACATATTTTGTCTGCAGATTTTAAAAAATAAACTTTATTAGATTATTACTTAATAGGAGCTTGACCACAACGCGCAACTTATTTTTAATAGTATCAAATACCCTATAGCTTTACGTGTAAAGACAATAAACATGACATTGGCGGAATTGTGTAAACGCAAATAGGCCATGAATTAAAAAAGAAAAAGAAGACGAAAACAGAAATTGATATAGTTTGTTGTTTTGGAGAAGATACTGAATATAAATCTAGAAATTATTACTTACTAAGTAGGTAATTTGTGATTTAATACAGATGATGCGACAGTGTGTTTTAAGGTGTCTCATAGATTCACACGCACCTATCAAGCTGGTTCATAATGCAGAAGTAACCATAGGTCGTAGTAAAATTACTAAAATTAAAGATCAGTCTTGCTCTCGTCAGCAATGTAAGTATGTTTGTATATCATTCTTTCAGTGTGTAACATCTTTTACAGCTAGTTGCACAAACGCCCATTTAAATAGTCATTAGTTTAAACTGGCATTACCCATAATTGAATTTGACATTCATTCGGTACGTAGCACAAACGACCAAACTTTGCGCAGAGGCAATATCGTAACCAATGAGGTTAATCCGAGGTGCGATTATTGCTAGTTGAAAACTTGCACAAACGACCATTAAGGTTTAATGACGCTTTTAAGGTCTAACGAATATCAAAATTTTATGGGTAATGTCACTTTAAATTAATGAACTACTGGCTAATTAGCGCTTAAAGGCGTCATCAAACATTAATGGTCATTTGTGCAACTGACTGTTACAATTTTTAATTAATGTATGTATTCAATTCAATATTTATATGTACTACTGTTGTGACTAAATTAATAAATTTATTTCTATCTGATCTTTTTTCATTAATTGTTAAATAACTTCAGGCGTCATTAAACCTTAATGGTAATTTGTGCAACTGACTGTTACAATTTTTAATTAATGTATGTATTCAATTCAATATTTATATGTGCTACGTACTACCATTGTGGCTAAATTAATAAATTTATTTCTGTCTGATCTTTTTTCATTAATTGTTAAATAACTTCCCTGCAGTTATAAGTTATTGTCAATTTAATTAATGCGTACCAACATAATATATTTATAGTAAAACTTAAAGCTGATTGTGAAGAATGTTCTGTGGAAATAATACAACTTGGAATAAATCCATCTGGTCTCGATGGATTTGCTATGAAACAAAACATACCTTATAAGATTGGTCATGGAAGTAAAATTGAAGTTTTATTCAATCATTATATTCACATTATTGAGTTTGACCCACCACCAGAGGAGTGCGATAATAAAAAAAACTATAATAAAAGAAAACTTGACAATGATGAATCTACTTATCATAGTAAGAAAATAAAAGTAGAAAAAGAGAGTGAAAACAAAGACTGTTATGAAACAAAGGAAGATAAATGGGAAGAAATTGATAATGGAGAATTATACATATATACACCCAAAGGTGTAAGATCTAGTATGAAAATAGCAGCTTTCGATATGGATGGTACGTTAATCAAGACGAAATCTGGCAAAGTACATCCTGTTGACATAAATGACTGGCAGATAGCATTCCCAAATGGAACAGAAAAGCTTAAAGCACTACCATCTCAGGGATACAAAGTTGTAATACTAACTAACCAGGCAGCCATAGGCAATGGCAGAGTGAAGATTGGTGATTTCAAGAAAAAAATTGAAAGTATTGTGAGTAAACTGGCTGTACCGATTCAAGTATTTTTGGCAACTGGCAAAACATTTTACAGAAAACCAGCAACTGGTATGTGGAAAATTTTAACTGAACAAGTAAATATAATTTTTTTATTAGTAATTTTCCGTCAAAAAATTTGTTGCATATTAAAGTATAATTATTGTTTTTTTTAGAAAAATGATAATTTGGCAGTTGATAAAGATGATAGTTTCTATTGTGGTGATGCTGCAGGCAGAGCAGCCAATTGGGCTCCAGGAAAAAAGAAAGATCATTCAATGGTAGATAAGTTGATGGCTGAAAATTTGGGTTTGAAATTTTACACTCCTGAACAATTTTTCCTTGGACATTCTATTGCTAATGTACCTATGATAAAACCTTCATTTATACCCAAGGAAATCACAACTGAACCATTTAATGATAGTTTAATAAGCAAAGAAAAAGAAGTGAGTTTTCCTAGTTCATTTGTTCTATTATTCCTTATTTCTAATTATATACTTTATCTAATAATGTTGTCTTTAGATACTTGTTTTAGTTGGATTCCCTGGCAGTGGTAAATCATTTCTATCCAAACAAATTGAGAAAAGGTCAAACAATCAGTATGTTGCTGTGTGCAGAGATATACTAGGTAGTTGGCAAAAATGTGCTACAGAAGCTACTAAATTGTTAGAGGTTGGTTACTCTTTTATCTATGGTTGTATGAAAACAGAAACGGTTATGGGTGGTCCTCTCCGATAATACATTTGCAACACCACTCATACTTAAAAATCGCATAGTGCAAATCCTCTCATGGGCACAACAAGACTGGCAGTAAACATTTGGTTCAGCCAAAGGTTGATTGTTGTTCAGAGGCAGACTTACTAACGATACTCTAAAATAGATTGTAATCTATGTTGAGGACCGGCCACTCAAGTGACTTTTTTTTTATATTACCTATGTTTGATAGTTTTTTCTATATTATTGAAGTATATTTGATTATTGGTTTTATATTGAAGTTTGTACTGATTTATTAACAACACATTCTTTGATGAACAGCTGTTTTTGTGAGCAATTAGCTTTGAAGGTAGTTTTATTTTCACACCAATAATGCCCATACCACCATCTTCATCATTATATCTTTCAAGCATATTCTATAACCCTGATCTTTTTGTACACTCCTTTTATGATATTAGTGCTTATCACGCATATATGATGCATACCTATTACTGTAACCAAAAAGTACTGTTTTAAAGATGTTTAATAAATTACATCCTTTTATATAAGTCAATGCACTTTATTAATCTCCTTTGGAATTAAATTACTCTTATTTTTTCTATTCTAATAAAAGTTGACAACCACTATTCAGATGAATTAACTAAGTAAAAATCACAAATATTTTCATTCCAGAGAGGTAAAAGTGTTATTATTGACAGCACCAACCCTGACTTGGAGTCTCGATCAAGATGGACAGCACTAGCAAAACAAATGAATGTGGAGTGCCGATGTGCAAAAATGGCAACATCAATGGCGCACGCACAACACAATAACAAGTTCAGGGAGCTGATGAAGATAAATCATGTGCCCGTTAACAACATAGTTTTTCATTCCTACAAGTAAGACACAAATCCTCATCTTTTTACTGATATCTTATATTTTAAAGCTGAGAACCGTCAAAAAGTTAAATAGAATTAAGGGTAGTTATGCAGCTGCATTCACAACCTGATCCTAGCAGATGTTTTGATTACAGAATATTTTTTTAATATGGAAAAATCTAATGTCATAGTTTTAGCTATCATATACATCCGAAACAGCTTGAACTATATTGATCAGTTGGTCTGACGATAGTTTGTTATCTATTTTTTATAGTAGGGTGGTTTACCTCTATCGATATGGCAAAACAACGTTTGCCGGGTTAGCTAACAAATTTATATAATTAATTGTCTTCATCATCAACGACCCATACCACAAACCACCATGCGGGTCCAATAAGGATTGATAATGACTATAGATGCAGGCAGGACCGACTTCTTAATGTGCGGTAAAACCCTCACGCGAAAGTGCTCAAGTTCCGCCTCTCAGACCAAATGCACTAGCCATTGCGCCATAGAGCTCATCGATTCTTTAAATTTTGAATTACCTTGTTACAGAAATAAATTTGTTGAACCCTCCACAAAAGAAGGTTTCAAGGAAATCATAGAAGTCAAATTCAATCCATGCTTCGATGACAAACAAGCAGAAGAAATATACAGAATGTATTTATTAGAAAACTAGGGTTTTGTATAATAGAAACAATATTGTGATATTAATCAGCATTTTATTATAGCAGATAGACTTGAATTAATGATGTGTGACCGTTTTTTAAGTACATAATAATTTTTGTTGAATTATTAGACCGATCTTCTATTCTTACCTTAAACAAGATGGTTTATATAATCGTAAATGACATTTTTCAGTATCAACTCAGACCACACACAGAAAAACTGGAGTACTTTTAAATGTTATTTATGAAAATCTTATGCTCAAAATAAGCCTTTAAGCGTATTATGTTTGTTGACTTAATGCGTTTTATGAAATATGCTATCACATTGTTTTATTATTTACAACTCTGTCTTGGTAGAATAAAATTGATTATTGTTTGTGATATGATAAAAAAGTGTCCAGTGATTAAAATGAAAAATTTGAATTTTTTTGAAAGAAGGTATAATGATCACAATATGAAGTTGTCTGTAAATTTTTTTTGTTTGGACTGAGTTGATGTTAATGGCTAAGGCATTTTATGACAATAGTTATTTGAAAAAATATAGAATTTTAAGACACTAATACGGGTGTACATAGTAAACGAAAATAAATATATATATATATAATTTTTTTTCTGGTTTTGTTTAATTCACTATTACCGAAAATTACACTTTCATGCTTATCATATTTATAACATTGCTTAAATTAACTATGAAAAATCAAATATTTTATGCTCGTTGTCACGTGACCGCAAACAGCGCTTGACGTCATGCCCTTACTCATATTAGAACTTAGAGAATTCAACCTTATCCATATACATCGCACAGAACAGAAAAATAGAACGATATTCGTTTCAGAGTGCCGTAACGTCATGGCGACGCCATGACAGAAATGGCGCGGGAAATTTTAAAAATTAAATTTTAGAATTTATCTTATTATATGAATGATATTTTTTTTAATATTCTTATTAGATATATTTTACATGTATCTATAGAATAGAAATATAAAAAATGTTGTCTACACCCCTAATAAGCCAAGCGATAATGATTTACTTTAATAATTGCCGGTGGACGGATATATAGATTTACAATTATGTATCACATCAATATCAAACCGAGAAATATAATTGCATTACTTAGTGAATTGCTAGCGAATTACATCTTAACAAAAACTGCTAGGCGCCCATAACTTATTCATTAAAAGTATGGAAATATATGTATCCCAGACTACAGTATTCATATCCTAGTATACTTTTCATAGTAGCAGGTAATTAATTAGAAAATCGTGGAAATTCGAAAACATTGTTCAGACCGTTAGGTAAAGTATAACCTTATGCGGTGTTTAGAAAATTACAAGATTTTGGATAGGAAATAAATTACACTGAGTCCCATTTAGTTTCTAAAGTACAATAAATGAAATGGACTTAAAGAAGGAGACTTCAGGCTACTACAATATGTCAAATTTCCAAGCCTACTAGCAATATTTTAAGGTTTAAAATCACGTGGAGAATATTCATGGTTTTGCATAACTTAACATAATGTTGACTGTACATTGATTTCATCGGATTATTTTAATCCGTCTCGGGCGCTCGAGACTGGTGCATTTTTTAAGCATTCTATAATACATTTTATAATCGAACGTTTAGAAAAATCCTGAGACTTGAAATTTGTATACAAATTGTAGAAGACGTAACTAAATTAGGTACCTTTTACTAAATTAGGTATCTGTGCGAGCGTAATAGAAATATATGTTTGCGCAAGAGAGAGAGAGATATGAATGTCTGGTCATTGTACTAAATTCTCTCTGTTCGGCGTTCGGACCGTTGGTATTACGTGTATAATAAGAAATTGATTTTCTAGTATAATATTTAATATAATTAATTAATAAATTAATAAATAATCGTTAATAACTGTAAGTCGCGACCGAAGTACCTAATCTAGCTACTTATCTACGAATTAGGTTTCTCTCTTGTTTTAGTGGGATCTTTTTATCACGAAATTTCTTCACATAACTTAGTTTCTACTGTAACGGTGGCACTTCATTTGGCTATTCGCAAGGAGCCTATCTATATGCTATTAATTTTTGTGTTTGCGTGTTAGTTGTATTTGAAAAGTACAGTGAGGTCCAAATAATTTTGAGTCTTCTTTTTTCATGTTTACCCACCAATTCCGACGGTGACTGGACGTGCTATTAAAATGTAAAGCGAGTCTTGTTTCAGTAACCATAAGATGTAAATTACAATGCAATAGGTGTCTTTATCTCACTTTCAGCGGGAGTTAGTCGCGTGAATATTGGTGATCATCCGGTAGCGTGATACTTTAATCATTCTGATTGGGTGACATTTGCTGTGCTTCTAAATTAAACCTGCGTTTGTACATCAGTTGGTTATATGCAACTAACTACCATATCAGTATAATTGACAAAACATAGGTTGATGACAGTATCATTGAAACCACGTATTAAATTCAAGCGTATAGTCAAGTGAAGTGCCTCCATAATAAGTAAATGTCTGGCATTGATCGATGGTGAGATTGCATTGAATATAAATGATTATGTGATGAAGACAAAGGTTTGGGTCGAGTGTCATTCGTCATCTTGTTCCGGATCTTCGTCATCTGCATCAATTAAGTTATCAAGACTCGAGTCCGAGTCATTCTCTTGTCATCTGTAAGGAGAAGACATCCATCATCATTCCTTCCAGCGGCTTAAAGTGATTTAAGTGAATGTACCAAGAAAAATTATTTGAAGCAATTTTTGACATGCAGTTGAGTCCAAATGGTCCATATTTGGACACAACCCGAACATTACCAAATATAGCAATGCGCAACTTTGTGTTACTTAACGCTTGTTCAGCTTATATACCGTATGCAAACTAAGTGCTTATTTAATTACATACCTATACTAATAATATAAAGAGTTAAAGTTTTTAACTTCGCTAGTTCGTTTGTAGGCGTAATCTTCGAACTGATTTGATCATGAAAACTCATTCACCAACGGGAAGCTATATTATATGTGGGTAATATAGGCATTTACGTGAGTTTTCAAGGGAGAACAGCTAGTCAAATATAAATAAATGATGTTCCTAATGAAAAATGATTAAAAATCCATTTTGTCCATGGTACTTTGAGATGATAAAAATATGGTAAAAATAAGATCTGAGTTGTGTGGATTTTTTAAGCATTTTTTATTAATATTGATCAAATATTTATAAGATTATAAAGTCCATTTACTAAGTTCATCATCATACGAACCTGGTAATATAAACAGTGTCGATGTGTGCTAGTCGAGCTCCAGTAAGTGGTATCGTGGCAGGCACGGTATGCAGCTTGCGTCTTTCTACAGCACTTCTAGCCTGTTGTACTGCAAGGTCGCCGCACCATCGTTCGCAACGGGCGTATATTACAACGCCTGGACATTATAAAAATAAACATAATAAACATTGAATAGGGATAATGCTTGGGTAAACAGAAAATCTAGTCTGTCAGTCAGATAACAGAAAAATATTAGATTGATATTTTTTGCTTCAATTTAACAAGAAATGATTTAGATAATAGACATTAAAGTTGAGGAGTGGGGGCCCACTACGTCACAGTTTTGTAGAAAATTGTACAAAAGCATCCATGCGACGTTTAAACTCAATATATTGCCATAATTTATTGATTGCGATTGAGACATTTAGAACATTTCTTGGTTGATAAGAAGATATGCTATTGCCAAAACATTGGGTATTTGGCATAAGTAAACAAGTGCTTGTGCAAGTCGAACAAAATAATTAAGTTAACAACAAATATCATCACTTACAGGTTGAATTTAGATGTTTTGTAATATTCGTGAGTTTATACAACATTTTAATGAAAGCTAAAGCTATCGTACCTGCTGCAGCAAACAGACTGATTGCTGGCCAGGAATCTAGTAGAAGGGGTGTAAGGAACAGTAGAGCGGCGAATAATGTAATTGGTCCTTGTAAGGGTTGCATTCTCCTCACCGAAAGGTTATGAGCTGGTTGACATCCACATATGAACGTACCACACAACCAAACTGAGAAATAAGAAAAGTAATCACTATAATTTCCTAATAAAACAAACAAATAGTAAATGAAAAAAGGTACCGAACTCAATGACAGTTTTAGAAAAATTGAGGTAAACGTATCTTAAGTTTCCATATACTTACACTGATATGTACGTTAATTCAATAAATCACGCAGAATGTGATGATTAGGAGGAAATTAATAGAATAAATATACCACTCACCTGGTATACCTGTAGCAAACATAGGCACTCTGATAGCATCGTTGCAGAAAGCGATCGCTATCAAGATATTTGCTGTCACTTGAACAATAGCTCCGGTTGCAGCCCAACGCGCTCCCCGCACACTTGGAGGGGAGGGTGTGCTCGATTCTGGAGTAGCAGTTACCACCTGGAATCATATTTCGTGACTACCTTTGTAATGATTAAAAATAAAATATTTCCAAAACAGATATTAGCATTAGCAATTACATTTAGCTGATTGACTGATACAACGCCGTTGGAGTAAAAACTTTTTATTTTTTTACTAATCAAATGAAAACAACCAACAGTCGAAGTACAACGTGCTTAGATTAATTTTCAAGACTACGAAGTTAAATGTACCAGCTTACTTGTATTCTATCCTTGTATTCTTTAACCACGGCGTCGATATCGGTAGAGTCGTCGCCTGAAGATACTTCCGGCTCACTGGCCTCTACATCTGAAGCTACATCTTCTATTTCCGCAGTTGGCACATCTCTGGGGCCACAGTTAGAACTCATTCCGTGATCTACGTCTTCATTGAGGCATCCTGCGTATTCGTCTAGTAGCAAACATTCTCGCTCTTCAGTTTCTGTAAAATGTCGTGGTACTATTTTCTTTGGTTAATTTAAATTAAGGTTTTCCATTTGTAACCTCTATTTGTAACTACATTAAATATTAATTTCATCTATTATTCTATTAATCATGTAAAATATTGTTAGTTGATTATTCCTTCAGCTACCTAGAAGTTAAATACAACCTACCTTCACCATAGGAGAACTCTAGTTTCTTACCTTTGTTTGTAATCTTCGATTTTATACTTTCAAGAGTTTTAGTATGTCTTATGGCTGATGGTATAAACCATAAACCATGTTTAGGTTTTGCACCAGTCGATTTCAAATTGCGCGATGTGCCATCTGTTCCCAATCTTTTGTATTCGATATCTGAAGATTCATAAGAAGGTTTACATAAAAATATTTGCAGGAATAAGCAATAATTCATGTTTTGCCCAATATATACGCGAATACTTACTTCCAGCTTCCTTCTGTTCTGCTGTGGGCACACAACGCATGATCATAAACTGGAATGCCTGTACAGCAATGCTGAGAAGATGGCTAGCGTTCATGAGTGTTATCATGTGTGATAATGGGCACGCAAACGCAAGTATTGCCGCTAAACTGCCTGAAAAGTAAAATGCATGTGTATTAAATAATAAAATAAAAAAGTTATGTGTATTAATGACCTCTTTGCTGGTGCTCAGGCCGTCCCTGTAGATGGAATCAATTAGGGAGAATGGGCAGATGCAGTGAGCAAGCACGGGTACATATAATGTACATGTATACAAATACTAAAGTTTGATATGTATAGTAGTTCAAATTTTTATATATCTGGTATTGACCACAAAAATATTTTTTGTTGTTGGGCATATACGGTTTTACAATTGCTGATTTGCCACTATACCAACTATGCTTAGCTTTTCATTTTTGATAGTTTTCAATTCATGCTTTAAGAAATTGACTGACCAGCAGTGAACACCGCTAAAACAGGACTGCCGGTCGTGGTGCTCTCATAAGTCATTGATCTTGTTAGCACCTTCCACTCAGGCGATGCCAGCGCCACCAGTACATTGAAGAGTAACGGGCAGAGTTCAGTGAGGGCAAGGCTCACGCCTGCAACTGTAACTGCGGCTAACATTGGACAAACCCAACCAGCGGACCTCGCTTCCAGGAGAGTAGTCACAGGGAGAGCTGCGTCTATACTGTTACTGTAACATGTACATTGAAAGAATTCCGTTTTTTTTTATTTCCAAAGGTTTCAAAATCACACTATATATTATAAATAAAAAATGTTAGTTCAGTTAAAACGCGCAATTTTACTAATAGGTAATTAGGTTACTAATGCCACTAAGGCTTCGGTGAGCACAAACCTTCTGAATCTTTCGCTATAGCTATCAAATTCTAGGTATTGAATTTGATAGCTATAGCGAAAGATTCAGAAGGTTTCAGGAATCTCCATGTTAAAGACAATATAATAAATAGATATTATATTATCATCATGTTAGATGGTAATCAAATGCCAATCTGGGTTGAGATAAAAAAAAAATACTTTTGTTATACTAAAATTAAATGTTCTTACCCTTTTAACATATTGGTGTACAGGAAACAAAGTCCAGATAGAACTATCATTGGCATACCGATTCTGAGTAAAATATTTTTTTTCATTGACCCATTCTCCTTAGACGGTGAAACTACACTGAAAGCATAGCTAATCGGTGACCCAGCCGCAAAAAGCTGAAGAAAAAACATGATATTGGATTTAATGTAATTTTTTATTCAAAAATTTAATTAATTAAGAATCGCAGCTTTGATTGTGATTAGGATTGTCTGCCGGAATGGGTTTCGAATCTAGATAGAGCACACGATTTATGTCAAATATTTTATGATTTATAAAAGCACGGAAGTCCTTGGCTTTCGCTTTGTGTCATATTAATTGATGTCCTTTATTTCCTATTACACTCATTGTTATTCATTGGACTACTAATTGTATTAAGAGACGGATTCTACTGCATTTCTCTGCCATTGTCTCGAGTGGGCTCGATCATTTTTTTTAAGACTTGTTGTTGATGTTTTGTGAAGAGATGTAGTTTTGTGATACTGTATTATTTTCTATTGCGTCTCCAGATTAAAATGAATATGTTTATATATGTAATATATATAGTTAGTAACATAAAATTAATTCGGGTAAAACATTATAAAAGAAATAAGTACCTCATAGATAGTGATTGGTATACCCATGTTTATATTAGTAATATCCAAATTCATCAGTCCGACGATTGCAAATAATTGACTAAATATATACAACAGGATAAGCAGCATAAAAGTGAACATTACACTTTCCTGGAAATAAAGTTTACACATTATTTATGATTTCTGTGGAAATGGAATTAAAACTACACATGTCTAAATTAATGATTCACGTAAATGATGCTTTTGGTCCAGAGTATGTTCCAGTTCGTATTATTTGCTTAGTAATAAGGTCTAAAAATTTATGATGTTATATTTAAAGACTACTTAGATAGTAGGTACAACTAATTAATATTAAAACATTAAATCTATGATAACTAATATTAGTTCTGTCATGTTAGAAATTTAAGCAGTTAACAACTTACTTCTAACCCGCACATGAACATAGCACAGACGACCATAACCACAGTTACACCAAGAACGTCTGGCCAGGGTTCACCCAGAGCTCTGGTCTCGTATCCAAAGAGCCACCTCCTAGTCCTGCCACTAGTCACATGGTCAGCGGTAGCACTCAGTATACGGGCACAAATCGCTACCGCTACTAAATGCGATAGAAATGTCATCCACATCGCCATGAAGTCGGCGAATGACTGAAGATTGCGTTCCCTACGCCCTCTCGAAGTCTTCGCCGGTGGCAAGATCTCTGATAGTTTCTTGAGATCTTTGCTCGTAAATGCTGTAAAAAGATGTTTCAAGTAACTTCTCTTTTGTTTCAGTATTATATATAGTACTAATAATTATTTTGAATCTAAATACTAAAGTACTCAAGAGCATCGAAATTAAATGATCTAATGGCTCAGTTACTCTGGTAGATGGGATGGACTCGAGCGACCTCTGCGCGCTCATCTCATCCTACTAATATTATAGCCTTCGACGAAACGTTCGAAGTTTTTATGACAAAATCGGCCTAAAAAATGCATAGCAAATATGTCATCTAATCCAGATAGAATGGACGAGGAGACCCACTGCGGGTAGTGGTCCTGTGGCTGTTACCGTGCTTTATTTTTTTTCTTCCTTTATTTTTTTTTAACGCTAGGAGAAATGCATCACAGCATACACATACCCGCTCGACTCAGATCGGGTTATGTATGGCTCTTTCCAGCGGACAGATTTATGATGTGAGAGGCACAACGTCAGGTGTTAGCGAGTTTGCCCCTGCTTTTTGATTAGCAGGGAGAGCTCTACATAACACGCCTACCCTGCGCTGGGAGGAGCGGGATTGCAGTAACACATTTCTCCTAGCGTTAAAAAAAGCGGACGAGGTGATTTCAGTTTTGCAGTTACTGAATCTACCTCCATCTGTCACCGTTTAATTAATCGTTATGTAGAATTAGCTCACTAGCAGCGGTGACGAATACAGCCAGCAAGATGACTGCCGGTACAGCACAATAGCTGGAGTTGGCAGCGGCGAGTGGTGCCAGTAGCAGCACGCCGAGCATCCAGCGCGCGCCGCACGCTTCGCCACTGCTTGTCAACACGTTCAGAGCACCACTCATTTTGCTTTAGCACCGATTCCAATGGTTACTTAATATTTCTGAAAGGCTTGCAAAGGATAAGACAAAAAATTAACATTTACCATCATCATCACCGGCCTATTATTTCCCCATTGCTGGGGCTCAGGCCTTTTGTAATGGATTGAAATGGATCTAATCGAATAGAGTGACTCAAGAGACTATTACCCATCATAAGGGCCGAGTGCTGATTGGTGGGTATTAACGATTGAAGTAGCGATTGGGACCAACTGAGTCTTAATTGAGTCTTAAAGTACCTTCCGAAGTACGGAGGAGTGGGAGATAATAAATTTTTGGTCACCCATCCTAAGACCAGACATTGCGAAAATTGCTTAATAACCGAGATAATTTTTTTATTAATGTATAGATAACCTTACTTAAATGAATATATTTTTACACGACATATGTTTGAGTATAATTTTTATCTATATGTTAAATTTTTAAAACATATTTAAAAATCAAATAAATGTAAAAGTTTCCAACTTTATTTGTTTTTATTTCTGTAGTACTCGTAAAGAGTTTGATCAAGTTAATTATCATCCTATACTGAAAAATATCACCTAATTTGATAGTAATACTCTGGCATTACGACTGAAAAAGACTATTTGCAGGAAGTGTATCATTACTGTTATTATGTTTGAACACAGCATTCATACATTTTCTGATGTTAATAAATATGTCTGTAAATATCTTCAACTAAAATTATGTAGTAGTACTAGTAATTTGTGTATGAAACTTCATTATCGCTTTTGTACTTTAAGCAATAAGATATTTTTATGATTTTTTTTTATATGACTTCTATGACAAATAAAATTTAGTTCAAAAGATTTGCTCATTAATTTCTATTATTTTTCTAATTAAAAACGAACTCAAGAAATCTGCTTATTAATTTCTATTGTTCGTGTTATTGTTTTGAGTTTGAAATAAAATCCTTTTTGTTCGTAAAATTGGCTGTCGGCATCTTAACATTTTGTTACTTACCTTAAGCATGCATTGGTTTCACTTTCTAAATCTTAATTTGCCAAAATTATGAGTAAAATGTTACAAAAAATGTCACTGTTAATTTCACGACAAAAATAAATATTAGGTTGTGTTGAGAAAATCTTTATGTAAAATCACAATTTAAGCAAAAGTCAACTAAGTCAATATTTATGTAACGTTGACTTAAAATCAACTGTACCTATACCCTGTAAAAATAGCTTGTTTAGGATATAATTCAATTACGAAAATGAACTTACCATGGTTACTACTAAGGCCACTATGTTTTATTCCTTTGACACTTAAAATAAGAAAACACATATTAATACTTGAAATCGTATCCCATTATATATATCGCTGTTAGAAACTGTATTTATCCTTAGAAACATATCTAAACTGTGCAGGTTTGTAAAATATTTCGCGATCGTCGGTACATAAGGTCGAATTTTGGTGTTTATGCGACAAACCTAAGCGGTGTAGCGATATACTTGCGTCCCTTTTGTTCGGTGTCTGATCGATACTAGTTGATTAGGGTAACCATTCCGTGTGTAAGTTTTTTATTTTTCTTATTGCAAAAATAACGACAATTACTCGTTAAATAGATTTGTTCTTGAAATATGTAAGACTATATCGACTGGGAAATCACACAATAACAAACCTGACTTACACCCGGTTTCCGAATTGAGAATTTGAAGTTGAGTACGTCTCAAACCGTGCTTAAGCCATTTTAAACGTCAATTAAACAGGTTTTCATTACTGATTTATAAACGTAAAACGTAAAAAACTTAAGTTATTGAGAACAATCAGTTGAGATTTTGTGCTTTTCTCAATTCAGAAACCGGCCGTTAGTGTCGTTACGCGCTTTTACTATGGGGTGAATGCCGCCCTTTCTATGAAGTGGACGTTTAAAAACTCAATATAACACGAATATCTGAGTTAATCGCGGTTGAAAATGAATGTAAAAAGATTTCTAACAATTTTCTACGAATTAATGTTTTATAAAAAAAATATAATCGAATTAAAATTACAAAAAATAATTGTTTGTTTAATGTGGCGGTTTATACTAGGCGACTTATGAATAAATATATTCTATTTAGATTATGATTTAAAAGTATAAAAAAGTACGGGGTACGAACCCGGGAAATCAAGGAGTGCGACCTCTTGAAACCGGCGTCCGAACCGTATACTTTCATTGTTTGTCAATAATTCCAGAATAAGATACAAAGTCAATAATTTCGCGGCACCCTAATAACTTTTCTACGGAACCCCTACCCTTCCTGGGTTCCAGGAGCCCACATTAGGAATCACTGAGCTATAATATTATATTATCTATGCAATGAGTATGACATATCGTAAATTTTACAAGAAATGAAATGAAGATTCATAAATTTATTGTCTTCGTAGTCTCGTAGTACTTTTAGCTACGAGAATTTTCCGTAGTAAATATTTGAAATATGTTTTAAGATTTTTGTAGAATATTCTTTTAACTTTAATGAACTAAAAATCAAGTAAAGTTTAACATAGTTTTCTATATCATCGAGTTGTTGTTACCGTACATAAAATTCTAAGGTTTCGTATTAAACGGTGTTAATTTAGAATCGAATAGGAAGTCGAATACAATTACCTACTAGTAATTTATCTTATTAATTTTATACATCTATCTAGGATGTAGAGGTAGTTTATTTTATTCATACTAGTACTGCTAGTACTAAATTATAAAAGTGCTTATTTTTCGTCTTATTATTGTGATAAGCAGACAAAATATTTAATGGACTGTTAGTAATACTATAAAAATTTAATGTTAACTAATTCCACGTTCAAATATTTTAAAAGTTCGGCGAACGAACGGCCAACAATCACCAAGCGTAGGATTAAATAACAAAACTTATTCTTAACTTTATAATGATCAATCGAAGACCACGGTAACAAGTTGGCTACGACGGTCTTTATAAATATTAGGATAAGGTTTGTTAAAGATATTACGTTTGATATTCGTTGGCAAAATGTAAAATATGTAATCTTTTGTTTTCTTCACAGAAATGAACGATGGTGAATACGAGTATGTTGGTGTGGTATTTTCGTTATTTAGCAGAACGCTTCCAGATATTATCTTATGAAAAAAAAAGAACTACTGCTTCGATTTCGATAAAGTTCATTTGGGATTATCTCGGGCTCATCTTTAGATGGCAAGCTTTAGAATGAAAAAATTACGTTAATTTCTTAGCACCTTATGTTATTTATTTTTATTTTCAAGCGCACTATAACCAATACTATTGCACATATTCACAATACAAAATTTGTATTGTCCAATTGTATTGGTTTTTTAATTAAAAAAAGACAATCAAAACTTTAGTCTTATGTGAACACGGAATCTATAAAGGGTACGAAAAGTCTAAAACTAATGTAATTATATAATTATAGGTAGCAACGGTCCAAGTTATTCAAGAGTACGATTGCCTAATTCACTAGCCATGATTCTAACCATAGGATACGAGATCTTATCGATGTTATGGCGATATTTCGTATCATATTATAACTTTGACATGTACTTTAGTAACGATAAAAGAATGGTAATTATGGATATGATAGCAGTGTTACCAGCTTAGTCATATATCCCAAATTTCTCCACCAAGACATGTCAAAGTAGTAACATGAAACGAAATAACGTCATGACATTGTTAAGATGTATTTACGCGGTCGCACCCCAGGTCGGTAGGTTACTAAATTACAACTACTACGTAATCCAATTAGAATTTGACACAAGCCGCACAGTTCGCGGAAGAGTTGGTCATTTGCAACTAGTACAGACAAACAGACTAATTGAGGGCTAAGGCTACTTTGACACGGAAACTGTGCCCTAGAAAAATCTAGTTAACTACATAGATAGACAAATAATGTTTATTTTTCATTTACAACAAACTAGGTTCTTCAGAAGCAGAAACTATAATTGCATAAAAAAATAAAACGACAAGAAAATAAACCAGAATAAATTTTCCGATTTGTTCACCTCGGTTATATCACCTACGTGCACTAAGTGGAAATATTAGTATATCACCTGTTCGCCTCCGAATAAAAGCATAAGATGTATCACACATGTGAATAAATGAGTCTTTGATTATCTATGAGTATATTTAATCACTTTAATTTAAATCATTAATTGAGCAGGGGCGCGACAGCTTAACTCTCTCAGAACGATTCTACCCAAATCTATAAACACGCTTATTGATTTTATTAAAGCATGTTTATTTTTTTATAAATAATGATATGTTAATTGATATTTGTATATATACTTATAATCATACCTTTTAATTTGTTTCAATTGTCTAAGTGCTTTGTATAACTAAATTCGACCATTTTAATTTAGTCAAAGTTGTGATAGACCAAAAATAAACTAATGAATCTATTTCAAAAGTCTATCAAACTTTTTCAAAAGTAGAACCTTTCAATCTAAAAAACTAACCGTTGAACTTGTTCTGTAATGGTTTGTAACACAAATAGACTCTATTTTGTTGTAATATTGAAACTAGATCATTCGCAAAGTTGCCCAGTTGGAGGGTTCTGTGGTAGCTTGGCCGCTAACTTCATAAAACATGTCTAGCGAAAGAGAATAAAAATGAAGTTCGAGAAATGTTGAATTGAATTTCCATGAATGAAAACTTATAATAAAATTAAAAAGTAACGATATAGATATATTTTACTCTTGTACAACAGTAAAATAGTACCTAAAGTCTATTAATACTATTGTTTTACATAACTATAATAAATTATAGACCCTTTTGGAACTACTAAGCATTTTAATTATGTATATACTTATAGTTTATAGAGGTAAAGTTTGTAATTTGGTTCGTTTGTTCGTTATAGGGGGTAGTCTTCGGAAATACTGACTCCGATTATGAAAATTCTTTCATTTATAGGAAGCTATATCATAGGCGGGTTATATAGGCTGCAATTTACGCGGGTGAATTCGCGGGAAAAGAGCTAGTATGAGATATTGAATTGATGTCTTA